GAGAGAGAGAGAGAGAGAGAGAGAGAGAGAGAGAGAGAGAGAGAGAGGCAGGCGCAGAGGACATATGTCAGTACATAATAGCTGAAAACTTCCCTAACCTGGAAAAGGAATCAGATATCCAAGTCCAGGAAGCACAGACAGCCCAAACAGGATCAACCCAAAGAAGACCATACAAAGACACACCATACTTAAAATGGCAAAAATTAAAGATAAAGCTACAACAAAGGAGGCAAGAAGGCAATAATATACAATGGGGAAAAGATAGTCTCCTCAATAAACTGTGTTGGGAAAACTGGACAGCTGCATGTAAAAAACTCCAACTGGACTACTCTCTCACATCATGCACAAAAATAAATTTTAAATGGATTAAAGACTTAAATTTATTTTTTAAGATATTTTATGAAATATAGTTGATTTACAATGTTGTGTTAATTTCTGCTGTATAGCAGTGATTCAGTTATACATATATATATATTCTTTTCATATTCTTTTCCATTATGGTTTATCATAGGATACTGAATACAGTTCCCTGTGCCATACAGTAGGACCCTGCTGTTTATCCATCCTCTATATACTAGTTTGCAACTGCTAATCCCACACTGCCAGTCCTTCCCCCTCCCACCGCGCCCCCTGCCCTGGCAACCACAAGTCTCTTCTCTATGTAAAGACTTAAATTTAAATGTAGGATCTGAAACCACAAAACTTCTAGAAGAAAACGCAGGCAGTACACTCTTTGACATCAGTCTTAGTAATATATTTTTGGTATGTCTCCTCAGGCAAGGGAAATAAAAGCAAAAATAAACAAATAGGACTACATCAAACTAAAAAGCTTTTTGCACAGAGAAGGAAACTATCAACAAAGCGAAAAGGCCACCTACTGAATGGGAGAAGATATTTGCAAACAATATATCTGAAACAGGGTTGCCACCCAAAATATACAATTCAACATCAAAAAAAGAAATACCCTGATTAAGAAATGGGCAAAGGACCTGAAATGACATTTTTCCAAAGAAGACATATAGATGGACAACAGGCACATGAAAAGATGCTCAACATCACTAATCATCAGGGAAATGCAAATCAAAACCACCATGAGATATCACCTCACACCTGAAATGACTATTATAAAAAATACAACAAACAACAAGTGCTGGCAAGGATGTGGCAAAAAGGGAAC